CTGTCATTATACTATTTCCTACTTGACAATGTATCTGAATTCTGAACATCTCCACATGGGCCAATAAACCCATTTCTAAGACCACACTTCACTCATAATGAAAACTTCCACCATACTTTCTTAAATTGGGCAGTCAGAAAGGTCTGTTCAGAACAGGTTGAAAGGCAAGGGATGTAATTTCACATCTTGATGGGGTAGTGCAAGGTTCTATAAGACTATGTGGGACCTGAAATATTGTTGGGGTTATTTTTATAAAATACAAGCTTGCCATAGTTTTCTTATGCAAAATGGGAGAGGGTGATAATCAAAAGGCAGAGGTAAAAAGGAGAACTGGCATGATCCACTGAACATGGAAATGTTCTTTAGACAGGTAATTTTAACAAAGGGATATATATGGGAACTGAGGATCTGGAAAGTTTTCTATGCCTGCATTTCCCTTAGAAGGTTGAAGACTCCCAGAAGTGCACACACCCTTGTTTGAAGACCCAACTTCTGTTCTTTAGTTACCTGAATATTTAAGATGCATACTTAACTAAAAATTTTTCTAAGTTATATAGCATTTCTATGGAGGTATAAAAATGTGTATTTTGGAACACTAAAAAACAATTATTTTCATTTTAAAGAATGATCAATTCTTTCATTCAGCTAAACAAAGATAGACTAATAATAGAAACAAACCAAATTATCAATGTTGCAAGAATTTTGATAACTGAATACACTACCAACTAGAGCCAAACAGTAATGCACCTTTCCTGAGGACAAAAGTTTCTCTTAGGAAAGTCAGAAAAGGTCAGCTCAGGAAGTGGATGTTGGTGACTTGGCAAGAAAGAATTTTTACATTTAGTTGTTTAATATTACAAGTACAGTGAAATAAGATGCGCGTAAACCATTAGAACTGTTACAATTTGTGTATCTTCCAAATATGCTATGAATACATTGGCACAAAATCCTTTCTGACTTCCTTTTTCATCTTTGCCAATAACCCAGTGATCTCTTAAGAGGTGGTTTAATAATTATTTCCAAATGCCTTTTCCTAAAGATAGTATTTCTTACCTATAAAATTCATTAAAAGGTTTACAAAAGTATTCTACTTGCTCTAATTTTCATCATACTTCATGACCTCAAATCATCTGGGAAAGACGTTAGAGAATAAAGAAATATTGGGGAAAATTACTAATTTACTACCCCTTTTATAACAGGAGAAAAGGCAGAGCAATACAGTAGTTATAATCAGAATGTCTGCATTCATTCACCAAGTATTTATTAAGCACCTTCTATTTCCCAGACATCATTCTAACAGCTGAGGCTCTACAGGGGTGAATGAGAAAGTAATAGCTACCATTTATTGAGTGCTTACTATGTGCCAGGCTCTGGCCTAAGAGTTGCACACATATAAACCCTTTTAATCCTCAAACACAACACCTCTATGACATGGGTACTATTTTCATTTTACATATGAAAAAATTGAGGCATAGAGAAGTTAAATAACTCATCCAGCTTTTAATTGGTAGAAACAGTCCTGGCTGTCGTGGAGCTTCTATTAGCCTAAACTCCTTCCCTTCTCCTTTTCTTCTTTGCCTCTGTGAGACCTAACAGATAAAAACTGAGTATGGCTCAAATAGGTAGTGTGACCATTTCATTTTTAGATGTTTCTTTTTGGGAATGTTTAAAGAGAATTTTAACTAGCTCTATCTTCATCATGTTGTGATCTCAAGATATCTAAAAAGCCTGACTGTTAGAAGACTCAGTTTTGTTTAAATATTTGGGGAGAAATAGTTAATGTAGATATACACACGTAGCAGCCCTTCCTTTGGAAAACCGCTTTTCGAATCCAGGCAGGCCTAGTGGGGCTGAAGATTATGGGACCCTATCTCATTATAGGGGAGGTTCATAGTTGAAGCTAATTAGGCCTCACTGCCTTGGGCAATTATTAGTTCAGGACTACAGAAACATGATCCAGGCACGACAAATCTGTCTTTCCTGGGATGGACAGTGTTGGGAGATGTTCTCTTCACAAAGGAAGTGATTTCAGATGGTACCCATCTTCCTTGGCTCAAGAGAAAATGACTCCATAATATTGAGAGATGTTGAAAAATTCAGATACAGAACACTTTAATCTATCTATGCAAGAAATAGGTCTATCATTGCCCTTTCCAGTTAAATGAGTATAAAAAGTATAAATACCCTTTAAGTGGGTTTCTGTGACTTTCAATCAAGTTTCAATGAATTTACAAAAGCATTACATAAAATATGCACAAAGAACAATGGTTATAATAAATATGAATAGAATTCTTTTCTGTGCTCTTTCTTCACCCTCTTTCCCTGTGAACAAATATAGAACTGTCTACAGCTCAAAGGATGGTTTATTTCATTTTCAAAAGTAGTATGCAAAATATTTACCTATGAATTCTAAGCAAGTGATTACAGGCATTATTTTAATAATTCTACTTCTTTAGCATATGACAAAACCACAATATATCTAGAAAGACAAAATGTTTTATTTTAAAACATTGGAAAACCATTGAAAGACAAATGTCCATTATATAACCATGAACTTCAAATATTTGGAAACTGTAAATCTTCTAAAATGTGGTAGGCACTTCCAAAGAGCTAAATATTGCAAGTTATTCTACTGTATGTCTTTTCTAATATCAACAATACTTGATATGATGAAAAATACCAAGAAGACTCAACTAATTATTCCAAATCACCATCTTAGGGTTCAACTTAATTACATGAGTAAGAGTTTTGTCCAAGATGTTCCTGACACATGAAGCTTCCGGGTGAATTTCAGAAATGTTAACAAAAGTATCTTCCTTTTTTGCCTGTGAATGTTTGAGTATTGCTGTATTGTTGGTTAATATCCACTACAGATACTGGTTCTAGGCCAGCCCAAGGGTCTTCAAGCATTGAAGGCTTGAAATAATTTTCCAACTCATTAGACATTCTTTTTTCTCTACCACGCCCTGATCCAAATGGTGTAGATGTCCTTGGAGAACCCTTTAGAAAAAAAATCATCAGTTAAAAAAATGTTTTGTAGAGATAATTGGCACTTATTTTTTAAAGCTAGTGGGGATCACATTGCTAGTTAAAAGTTGTGTTTTGAACCCAAACATGTTCAAATGCAAAGTCCATTCTTCCTTTAATCTAGTGTTTTTGTTTGTAAAAGTATTTAAGCCAATTTGACATACTCATGTATTAATAATTCCATGCCAACTGTCAGCTCAAATACTTCTCGATTTCTAATGTAATAACTTTGCAGAACTAACAACTGGTGATGAAATAAATTGTGTTTCAAATTTTCCTAAAAATTTCCACCTTTTTTCTGGAAGGAAATTAAAACTTTTTTTTTAACCCTACAGCTTCAAAATTTCAAGAACCCTTCCATCCTATGAAATTTTATCTACTTAGCTCCAGACTCAAAAGGGGTGGGGTTGGTTTAGCACAACGAAAAGTAGGAAACCGTTCAAGTTTTAAACGACAGAAATCTTAGACACACCAGAAATACTCCCTCGGTCTCCTGTGTTCACTCTCACTGAGAGGAATGGGAAACTTCCAAAATCACCGATTTTTCCTTAAGAAGACCTGGAGCAGAAGCCAGTGTAGTTTGAAGCTCCCCTCTGCACCACCTTCGCCCCCCACCCCGCCCTGCCCAAAAAAGCGTGCCAGTATAAGGAAAATGGCACCAGTCTGTAACCCTTTAACTCAGATGAGCTCTACGCTGGGGATTCATTCGCTTTTTCACCCCTCGGAGAATAATTTACTCAGACGAACTGGCGAGGTTCCTGGCAAAGGACAGGAAATTAGGGAAATCTGGGTAGGAATGGCAGTGTACAGCTCAAAGCAGAAAGTACAGCTCTGCTACGTAAGGTCACCTAAAGTAAGTTACTTAACTTCTCTCTCAGCCTCAGTTTACTCATCTGCAAAACAGGGCCAACAATAGTATCTCACCTCATAGAGGATTAGACAAAATAATCCATGTAAAGGGATTATTATTAGTACCATGCCTGCCATACAGTAAGAGCTCGGCAAACGCTGGCTATTATTACCTGGGGGTGGGTCTGCTGCTGCCCTGGGGAGTAGCCGAAATGCTGCTGGGACCCCGCGGGGGACTTGGAGTAGGAGCCAGGGTAGCCGCCAGGGGACGGAGACCCGAATCGGCCCCCCGGGAAGCTGCCGCCGTGTCGCGGAGAGTGGCTGCTCCCGTAGGGCCTAGACCGGGGCCCGTACGGCGGCGTGTGATGCGGACTCCCGTACCCGTCCCGAGGGGAGGGCGGCCGCGGTCCGCCTCCGCCCGGGGTACCCCGGAAGCTGCTCCCGCTACCCCAACCTCCTACACCCGCGCCGGGGTAGGGAGGAGTCGGGGGTCGAAAATTCTGCCGGTGCATATCAGGAGACGAAGACGAGGACCTCACTGCCGCGTTCTCCCGCCGGAACTGTCCCGACCAACCCTTCTCACAGACTCGGTGGTCCTCTGCCAAAACAGTCCCCTGGCCGCCAGCGCGGTACAGCATATCGGTTCCGGCCTCACAAAGGTTCCGTCAGGCGCAGGGTAGAAGTGGGTTACTGAATTGGATAGAGATTAAGCAGATTTAAGTAAAGAAAGAAAAAGGACAAAAGCCGAACACTCGGCTCCAGCAAAGGCCTTTACGGTCTTGCGGTGCCTGCTCGGGACCGACCGACCAGACGACTGCGCGGGCCGGAACGCGCGGCCGGAAAACACCGCCCGGGAAGCACTGCCGGGCAAACAGCGCCCGGCGGGGCCCCGCCCAGTGGGCGGGGGGCGGGGCCTGAGGTGCTCGCGGGCGCCCCCTGTGGCGGCGGGCGGCGCGTGCGCTGCGCTCTTCCCTCACGCCCAGACCTAGGATGTCTGAGAGGCGCGCGATGCTGGCGACGCTGGCGAGGGTCGTGGCTCTGCGGAGAACCCGCCTTCTCTTCCGCCCGGGCGGCGGGAGGGGTTTGTGGACCGGCCGCCCGCAGTCAGGTACCCTTCGAGACGCGGTCCGGACGGCGAAGGGGACCCCGGCCCCAGTCTCCCCCTCGGGCGGCGCCATGGGGCGAGTGCCCGCGCTTTCCCGAAGTGTCTCCTGCCCCCGCAGCCCACCCTTTGGCCTTTCCCGCCTCTCGGGGCCCTCGCTCGGTGGCCCCGCGCCCCGGGCGCCCCGGGGTCACCCTGCTCGGCGTCCGGGCCGGGGGCCGAGAGGTCGCCCCTGCGCGGTCGTACTGGGCGGACGCCTCGCCTCTGTCCCTTACGCCTACCCTGTCTCGTCTTCCGAGTTTAACTCACTTTGCAAAGGTACACGCGGCCGCATTTCAGAAAGGATTTCAGAGTAAGCTCTGCAGAACTGGGGGGAGAGGCTGTGCTAAGTAATGTCGGGCTTTACTCCCTTCCTTGTTCTTGGTAAATGGAAGCGGGTTAGGGAGGAGGCTCCGAGGCAGAGATGCTGATTTTCAAGGAGCACACTTTGACGAAAGCTCTGGAAATCTTGACTGTTTCATAGACGTTTGGTTATAAAGAAGAATGTGCTAATCCAAGCATGACACCTCACGTCTAATAAAACGCGCGTCTGTGCCAGACACCTGTCCCAGGATTTTATTTAAAAGATGTGGCTTAAATTTACTACCGTTTTATAGAACTTTCTTTACCCCCTCAGAGTGTGGGAATGGTAGTACACTCTGACTCGTCCGATCAGCTCGTGGGAAACAATCTTAAAGAACTTGAGGACTCCTGAAACCCCAGCCCGGCGGGTGGCCGGGACCTGGGCTTGTCGGCCTATACACCTTGCAGGTGTGTATGACCTGCGGGTGACAAGGCTAGCTGCAGTGTGATGTCTTCTCAGCTTGCATCCTCCTTGAGGAGTGGAGACACAAGTGGCTTTCTGTTACTTATTCTGAGGGAATTCTGTTCATCTAATTTCTCCTTTAGACACAGTTGTAGAATCGATCAAGTCAGGATAATGCCATCAAGGCTTAGTGATGCAGTTAAAGGGTGAGGACCCCAGATTGTCCATTTTAGTGTGTATTTCTGTCTTGGCCAAAAATTTAGCTTTTGGCCGTTGTCTTTGGTGCTTAGCTTAATGCCTGGTAATTGGGCACTCAGATATTTATTGAATGAACAGTTGGGTCGGTCACATCATTATCGTTCAGCGATTCTCACTTGTCTTACCTTTTATACCATCAACCAATCTACTTTTTTGGGTAAAGGGAGCAGAAGAATGAGGGTGGTGGGGACCAAAATTACCTTTGTTGATTTTTTTTTATAACTGGCAAATGATTTGCAGAATTGATTAAAATATAGTATTGTGTTTTTACTTGGCTTACACTTCTAGAATATTCTTCTTTGTAGCGATGTCTTGTTCATATGTCTACACATACGAACTTGCATTAGAAAAGGGGGGAGGGGGGGCGCCTGGGTGGCTCAGTTGGTTAAGCGACTGCCTTCGGCTCAGGTCATGATCCTGGAGTCCCGGGATCGAGTCCCGCATCGGGCTCCCTGCTCAGCGGGGAGTCTGCTTCTCCCTCTCCCGCTCCCCCCTCTTGTGCTCTTTCTCTCTCTCTCTCTCTCAAATAAATAAATAAAATCTTTAAAAAAAAAGGGGGTGGAGGGGGGACGCCTGGGTGGCTCAGTCATTAAGCGTCTGCCTTCAGCTCAGGTCATGATCCCAGGGTCTTGGGATCGAGCCCCGCATCGGGCTCCCTGCTCCTCAGGAAGCCTGCTTCTCCCTCTCCCACTCCCCCTGCTTGTGTTCCGTCTCCAGCTGTGTCTCTCTCTGTCAAATAAATAAATAAAATCTTAAAAAAAAAAAAGAAATGGGGGAAGGAAAGAAATACAGTGCAAAATTTTGACAGATTATACATGACAGTGTGTGTGCAGGTATGTATGAGGGTTGAGGGAGAGTTAATCCTTAATAATTATATGAAAACTCCAGATTCCACTTGGATCCCTTTTGAGAATAGGCCATTTGCCTTTTTAGAGATGAGAAATAGGCCAAGAGAAGCTAAGTGACTTGCTTAAGTTCACATAACAGAGGTGCAACCAGAACTCAGGCTTCTTGAATCCCAGGAGATTTTTTTTTTTCCCTAAGATGAATAAATTGGCAATCAGTCTGTCTTTTTTTTTTTTTAAGATTTTTATTTATTTATTTGAGAGAGAGAGAGAGAGGGCATGAGTGGGGAGGAGGGGCAGAGGGAGAAGCAGACTCCCCACTGATCAGGGAGCCTGACATGGACTCCATCCCAGGACCCTGGGATCATGCATGACCGGAGCCGAAGGCAGACGCTTAACCTACTGAGCCACCCAGTCTGCCCTTTGAAAAATGCAATAGATAAATAAACATTGTAAAAATTTGAAAGTGCTATATAGCATATTATTTTAGACTTAGAGATTAACACATATAACCTTAATATTGAATTTTTATAAATGTCGCTAGAATCTTCCCATTTGTTAGCATGGGAATTGCAATCTGGGTGCCTGAACTGGTGGGTCTGAGGCATCTATTTGTATTGAATTTATTTGTATGGTGGTGAGTGCAGGGGAAGAGAGGTGAGGGGAGGGGGATGAAGTTTTATGTTGGGTTACATGGAAGTAGAAAAGAGAGGAACTGGGATCGTGGATATGAGAGTATGGTGGCTGCTGCCTGAAGTCTCAGTCCTGTGGAGAGAAAAGGGCACTTCTTATTTTTTGTGAGCAACAGAGGTTTGGGTTCCCCCCAAAAGAGAATTACAGCACTGTTTAGGGAGGATCGGCAGTAGAAAACAGGATACTGGATAGGGCAGTGCTTTCATGGAAGTGTTCAGGTACTTTTTTCACATGGCATTGTATACATAGGACATCAACAGACAGAACATCAAGAACTTTCTGAGTACCTGTGAACTATATGGGGAGCCCCAGTAATAATCAGTTAACTTTGTGGTGGTGTGTTGTTTTATAGGTCTCACATTAATGCAAGTAAGAGCACCAAGCCAAGGAAATTTAAGTGCAAATGTAAATGGAACCATGTCTATTTCTATAAGACAGGATTTTTATTTTATTTAGGTTGCCTAAGATTTTTTGTTTTTTCTTCCCCCAATGGATTTCAATTTTTTTTTTTTTTTTTGGGTAGAGCCTCATCTTCAAAAAACATAATTGGAAGCCCAAATTTTGAGAGCAGATAGGCTGTATTTGAAGCAGGAATTGGGGTTTCAGAGCCTTGCTCACTCTGCACCTCTAAATGGCCCTCTGAAAAGAGGCTTCTGGGGCACCTCTGAGGAATTCCCAGGGCTCTCCAGAAAGGGTGTGAAAGCCAATATTTTAGGAGGTGTCCGATATTAACAAGAGCTGCAAATATAAATGTTTTGGTTTGTTTTACTGTGTATTTTCAAGAAGTGTATATTTTCATGTTTCTGCATGGTCACAGCTTTGTAAGCCAAGAAAACTAGAACCTGGGTTAAAGGGCAAGATTTGGAAGTTAAAAGATTGTTAAGAGATTAGATTGTTAGAGAATGCCCAGGAAGTTTGTTCTTTTGTCAAAGGGTTATAAAACTCAGAGCCTGGGAGACATTCAAGATTGAGATTGTAAACCTTGTGAAGTTAATCTTCCCTTGGGAGACATTTATTTACATTCCAAAGGGTAAGAACTCTAAGACCTTCCCTTTTCTAAGGAGAATTTGCTTACATTAGGAAGATTAGCTTTTTTCCTGCCTTTCTCAGGGAAAGGTAGCAGTTGGGCAACTATAATATACATATTCCCAGATTCATACTTTTGGGGACCTTTCCTGTGGTTCAACCCCTGTATGGACCGGGCTAACCAACTGGCTCTTGTTACAATGCCTGTGGCGTATTAGGTGTGGGAAAAGTGATACATTTCTTGGTGTAAGTAATAATAACTGATCTCTGATCCAGAACCTTGTGTTTACTCTCAGGCTAAAAATGCATAAATGTAAATATTAAAAACATATGTTTTTGATGTAAAACACTTTCTATTACAGGGGAGTGTGTTTAATAATTTTTATGTATAGAGATGTTTGTATGTATATTTAGAGTATAAGCTTTACTTAATATTTCCTGCAACTTTCAGATTATCTCTGTTTTTCTTATGGCGGTCCTGTTATTAGCTGTTTCATGTTAAAGACTTCTAGTAGTAAAAGAGTCCGTGTATCTCTAGGATGTGATTAGTTCAGTCATTGATAGGATTAGGCCTATACTGAACACAGTAGATCACTTAACTATCACCTACATAATATTTTCATTGATAAAGCAACTATTAGAAGCAACTTGTTCTCAGGATTCTCTGAGAGCCAAACTTTACTGTTAATCATCTTCTTTTCAACTCTAAGCATGTATGCATTTTCTGTGGTAGTCAAACACAGGTGAATTGTTTTATACATAATGACTTCCTGTAGACTAATATTCTTTTTTTTTAATATATATTTTTAAAGATTTTATTTATTTATTTGAGAGAGAGAGAGGGAGAGTGAGCACAAGTAGGGGAAGCAGGAGAGGGAGAAGCAGCTCCTCGTGTGGGGGCTCGGTCCCAGGACCGGGGATCGTGACCCTAGATGAAGGCACTTAACTGAGTGAGCCACCCAGGTGCCCCTGTAGACTAATATTCTTTAGTCAGGTGTAACACAGGTGTTAAAGCATTAACTCACAAAAATTTTCATTGAGAATAAAATTGCTGACAGAGTACTTCAATATGAAGGAAAACCTAAGAGAGTATAACTATTGTTTTCAAGACACAAATTTTTATTTTGAAATCAGAAAATAAAATTTTAATTTCACTAGAAGTTGTATTTTTGTATTTTTCCAATTATAAAAACAATACATACATTTTGTAGGTAACCTGAAGTGTTTAAAAAAAACAGAAAGTGGGCACCTGGGTGGCTCAGTTGGTTAAGCGACTGCCTTTGGCTCAGGTCATGATCCTGGAGTCCCTGGATCGAGTCCCGCATTGGGCTCCCTGCTCGGCAGGGAGTCTGCTTCTCCCTCTGACCCTCCCCCCTCTCATGTGCTCTCTCTCATTCTCTCTCTCTCAAATAAATAAATAAAATCTTTAAAAATAAAAATAAAAATAAAAAAACAGAAAGCAAGAAAAAATATTAATTGCTTATCCAAGAAGCAACTATTAATATTAAAATAGAAAAAAATAAGCCTTAGATAGCTTAAATCTTTAAATAGGAAAATAAAAGCTTTTAAAATGGGAAACCCACCTATACATAAGCATTTATATAATCTAGGGTTGGGAGAACTTGGTACCTGTGCAGAAAAGAGTTAACATAGCAGGCCTCAGGCTGCGGTCTTTATTATTAATTTTTAAA